GGTAATATGCAAACTGACCCTAACAGCAGAATGACTGGGAATGACTGGTCACTATGACACACACTGACCACCAGGGGGCAGACGCTCAATGCAGGAGCTTCCCCCTGGTGGTCATTGTGTTCCTACAGGGGGAGCTCTGCTCAGCCACAAGCCACGCTGACAGCTGCCAGTACAGCGATGGTGGTGGGAGCCTCTCCCGCCTCCTCAGCAGCGCTAAGATGTTCGACTGCAGCTTAGGCCTGCTCCCCACTAGCAAGTGGACATCCCCCGAGAGCTGCTGGGCTGCCAGAGGGATGTCTGACTGCCAGCTTGGGCCCAATCCCCCGGGGAGTGGGCCTAAGCCAGCAGGTGGACATCCTCTGAGGGGTCCCAGACTGCAAGAGGGCATAGGCCGGGCTGAGGGATCCCCCCGAGTGCACAAATTTTTGTGCACCTGGCCTCTAGTCCTATAAAATAAAGGCCTAATATGCTAAGTGTCCGGTGACCGGTCGACTGTTCAACCAATCAAAGCATAATGTGCTAATGATATGCTAAGGCTGCTCAACCACTCACTGTGATGTGCTCTGACCACCAGGGGGATAGGCAGTTGACCGGTTTACTAGTCGCTATGACATGCACTGACCACCAGGGTGCAGATGCTCCTACCAGTAGGTTACCTTGTTGCAGGGGTCCAGCCGATCAGGACTGAGAGAGACTGGCTGGACACGCCCTGAAGCCCTCCTATGGTCCCTTCCGGCTGGCCAACCTCCCACATCTCTCCCCGGCTGTCTCGGCCTGATTGGGACTGGGCGAAATGGGGCCAGATACACCCTGGAACCTTCCTGCGGTCCCTCCCCTACCCCAATCATGCACTGGTGGGGTTCCTCGGCCTGGCCTGCGCCCTCTCACAATTTGGGACCCCTTGGGGGATGTCAGAGAGCCGGTTTCGGCCTGATCCCCCAGGCCACTCCCCTTGGGAGGGCGCCAGATGCAGGGTTCACTGCTGGTGAGCACTGCTGTGAGCCTCTCCTGATCGGGACTGATTGGGCATGAGCGCATGGCAGGCACAGTGGGGCTAGGATGAGCGGGAGTGGCAGGTAGGAGCTGCTGGCGGCATTGGACTGCGGGTTTCAGCCCGATCCCTGCAGGCCACCCAGAGGGACCCCACCTGTGCATGAATTTGTGCACCAGGCCTCTAGTAATTATATAAACTTTCCTCTGATTACTGCTTTCACTGCATCCCAGAAGTTTTTATATGTTGTATTGTCATTTTCATTTGTCTCTATATATTGTTTGTTTTTTTTAGGGTCATGGAAATATCTTTATTAGTCCGCTACATGGATCTATTGCAAGGATCTATTGCAAGGATCTGCAAGGATCTATTGCAAGAGGACTTAGCTACTGTTTTCTTTCTTTCTTTCTTTCTTTCTTTCTTTCTTTCTTTCTTTCTGTCTTTATTATTGAAAGTATTACATATGTCTCCTTTTCCCCCCATTGGCCTCTCCCAGGCCATTCCCTCCCCCTGCACAGTCCCTCACCCCCCTACTCTCTATGTCCATTGGTTATACTTACATGCATGCAAACAAGTTTTTTGGCTGATCTCTTACCTCCCCCAACCCCCACCCCTCCTCTGCCTTCCCTCAGCAGTTTGTCAGTCTTTTCAATGCTTCTGTGTCTCTGGATCTATTTTTGTTCATTAATTTATGGTGTTCATTATAATCCACAAATGAGTGAGATCATGTGATACTTGTCTTTCTCCAACTTGCTTATTTCACTTCACATAATGCTCTCCAGGTCCATCCATGCTTTAGCACACAGTAAGAGTTCTTTCTTTTTTACAGCAGCGTAGTATTCCATTGTGTAGATGTACCACAGTTTTTTAATCCACTTCATCTGCTGATGGGCACTTAGGCTGTTTCCAAATCTTAGCTATTGTAAATTGTGCTGCTATGAACGTAGGAGTGCATATATTCTTTCTGATTGGTGTCTCTGATTTCTTGGGGTATATTCCTAGAAGTGGGATTACTGAGTCAAATGGGAGTTCTATTTTTAATGTTTTGAGGACACTCCATACTGTTTTCCACATTGGCTGCACCAGTCCACATTCCCACCAGGAGTGTACTAGGGTTCCTTTTTCTCCACATCCTTGCCAGCCCTTGTCGTTTGTTGATTTGTTGATGATAGCCATTCTGACAGGTGTGAGATGGTCCCTAATTGTCGTTTTGATTTGCATCTCTCTGATGATTAGTGACTTTGAGTATTTTTTCATATCCCTCTTGGGCTTCTATATGTCCACTTTTGAAAAGTGTCTATTTAGGTCCTTTGCCCATTTTTTTATTGGATTGCTTATCTTCCCTTTGTTAAGTTATATGAGTTCCCTATAAATTTTGGAAATTAAACCCTAACGGACCCTGAATAGCTGCATCAATCCTGACAAAGAAGAACAAAGTAGATGGGATCTCAATACCAGATATCAAGCTGTATTACAAAGCCACTCTTCTCAAAACTGCCTGGTACTGGCACAAGAACAGACATATAGATTAATAGAATAGAATAGAGAACCCAGAAATCGACCCAAACCACTATGCCCAATTAATATTTCACAAGCAGGGAAGAACATAAAAAGGAGTCAAGACAGTCTCTTCAATAAGTGGTGTTGGGAAAATTGGACAGATACATGCAAAAAAAAATGAGACTAGACCATCAACTTACACCATACACAAGAATAAACTGAAAATGGATAGAGGACTTAAACATAAGATGGGAAACCATAAAAATACTGGAGGAATACACAGGCAGCAAAATCTCAGACATATGTCGACACAATTTTTCACCGATACAGCTCCTAGGCAATGGAAACTAAAGAGGCAGGGAAGAACATAAAAAGGAGTCAAGACAGTCTCTTCAATAAGTGGTGTTGGGAAAATTGGACAGATACATGCAAAAAAAAATGAGACTAGACCATCAACTTACACCATACACAAGAATAAACTGAAAATGGATAGAGGACTTAAACATAAGATGGGAAACCATAAAAATACTGGAGGAATACACAGGCAGCAAAATCTCAGACATATGTCGACACAATTTTTCACCGATACAGCTCCTAGGCAATGGAAACTAAAGAGAAAATAAACAAATGGGACTACATCAAAATAAAAAGCTTTTGCATAGCAAAAGAAACCATCAACAAAACAACAAGAAAGCCCACTGCATGGGAGAACATATTAGCCAATGTTATCAACTGATAAAGGTTTAATCTCCAACATTTACAGGGAACTCATACAACTTAACAAAAGGAAGATAAACAACCCAATTAAAAAATGGGCTAAGGACCTAAATAGATATTTTTCAAAAGAAGACATAAAGGAAGGCCAAGAGACATATCAAAACATGCTCAAATTCACTAATCATCTGAGACATGCAAATCAAAGGACAATGCGGAATCAACATCATTAAAATATCCATACTATCCAAAGCAATCTATAGATTCAATGCAATCCCCATTAATATACCAATGGCATATTTCACAGACCTAGAACAAACTCTCCTAAAATTTATGTGTATGATCTTTCTGATGTACTGCTGGATCCGATTTGCTAGAATTTTGTTGAAGATTTTTGCATCTATGTTCATGAGGAATATTGGCCTGTAATTTTTTTTCATTGTGTTGTCTTTATCTGGTTTTAGTATTAGGGTAATGCTGGCTTCATAGAATGAGCTTGGAAGTGTTCCTTCCTCTTGAATTTTTGGGAATAGTCTGAGGAGGATAGGTTTTAGTTCTTCCTTGAATGTTTGGTAAAACTCCCCTGTGAAGCACCTGAATCTTTCCCATTCTTTGCTGCTTCGTGCTAGTGTGGGGACAGATGGTGCCACAGTAAAGCAGAGGATATCCAGACGGGTTGTTTTTCATTTGTCTTGCGGCCTGTCTCTACAGCTCTGCCACACTTTCTTCCCAGACGAAGGTATTGTGAGGATTTTAGAGCTGGGTGAGAATTTCCATCCTGGTCTGAGAAAGAAGGAAAGATGAGTGGGAAGTTTGTTTTTCCATGTTTTGCAATTTGTGTCATTTGCTTGATTTTTCTTTGATAATCAAATCAACTGAGTTAGCAGGGTAAGTATGTGAACCCTATTTTAAAGTCAAGGAATTTGCTCTAGCCAGTTTGGCGCAGTGGATAGAG